AGAGAGAGAGAGAGAGAGAGAGAGAGAGAGAGAGAGAGAGAGAGAGAGAGAGAGAGAGAGAGAGAGAGAGAGAGAGAGAGAGAGAGAGTGACAGACAGAGACAGACAGAGAGACAGAGACAGACAGAGACAGACAGACAGACAGACAGTTTTCCATCGATAGGATGAGCAACGCACCAGCCAACAGGTACGTCTCCAACCCTGCGGCTGGCCTCTTGCTACTTCCATCGATAGGATAAAAAATTGAATGAATCTTCCGTTATAACATGGAAGTATACACTACTACATGTAGATGTGTGTGTGTGCGTGTGCGTGTGTGAGAGAGAGAGAGAGGTGGTGGGCGCCCACCTTCATGGCTGCCCGCCGCTCTCCTGCTGCCCGCTGCCGCTTCCCACCGCTCTCCCGCTGCCCCCTGCCGGGCGCGCGACTCCAGAAAATGGTCGTCCCCCTTCTCCAAAAAGTTTTGGGGGAAGGGCCTGCCAAATTCGAATTTTCAAATTCGGCAGGCCTTTCCCTCCAAAAAAAATTCAGAGGCGGGGCGCTGCCGGTTTCCCCAGTCATGCGCCCCGGTCATCAATTTTCCCGGGGTGGGGGCCCGCCACCCTCTTTTTTGGTGTGCGGAGCACTACAGTGCGCCATGCGGTGTGCGGCGCTCGGTGCACAACGTGTGCGCAACTATGCTTTTAGGCTTTAGCCAAAAATGACCACCACAACCCATCATCAACCCACAATAATCAAAGATGCAGCCAGCACCAACCCAAAAATGTCAAAGAACTTGTACCTACTATAATACAATGCCACACAAGAATTGAAACATCCTTTTTTTTTTTTTTTTTAATCAAATCAAAAGCAATTGCGGATAGAGGGAATCGAACCAATATCCCCTGCTCATCACTTTCTGACTTTCCTCCGTGCTCAAAACCAGTGCTCCCAAGCAGGATGTTCTATTCTGCCCAGTAACAAAAAGGGGAGATATTTGCTCCAGCCAGAAACTGACCTTCTTCCTTTACCCATCCACAAAACACAAACGTACAACTGTACTACAACAACTTTTTTTTTCCCTTCTGAAAACCCGGCAGGGCCTGTTAGAGGGAATGGTGTGAGCATCTCCCTCTAGCAGAGGCCCCTCCTGGATGCTCCTGTCCATTGGCGGGGAGCAACACCTGCCGGAAACCGAGTCCAGCATCCCATCGTACACATTACTTGCCGGAAACCGGATTCAGTCAGTGCCACAATAAATCTGATGTGGAAGAAGATGTTCAAGAAGCTGGGCAGAGTTGGTATCAGTTTCTGGCTGGAAGAAAAACGCCGTGTTCAGCAGGAGGTTTCTTCCCGCCCAGGAATAAAATCTGGGGATGATTCCTCCACCCAGAACCTGATTCTTCCTTTACCCACACACCAAAAACAGAATCACAACGCTCAAAATTTCATTCACTCACGCAATAGATTTGATAACGAAAGAATAAAGCTGCACACTCATCAGCAAAGGCTTTCCAAGCCGGGCAGTAGTAGTGTGCAGCTTCACGAGTTTGTAAGTCAGGCCAACATTATTTCCATCAAGAGCTCGAATAAAATCCTGATGCAATCAGATTAACACAAATAACACAGAGGTTCCGTCATTTATCCACTTAGCCAGTACTGTTGGCCTCATCCCGTTATGTTTGTGGCAAGCTAGAAAATGAATGGGCTGAGAGTCTGAATAAACCACCTGTACTTGGCCCAACCACCGGCCGCGGCGCTTCCCCGTTTATGCACCGCGACATTTGGGCTTCGGGCTATGGGACCACAGCGGCTGGAGGCGCCGGCCAAGAAGAAAAGAAAAGGCTGTGCTGGCGGCGGTTCGTAAAAAATCGGCACGCAGGGTGCGCTCCGAGGCCCGGCATCGGTAGCTGGGCCAAGTACTGGTGGTTTTAACCCAACCTTGAACCTTCTGCAAAAACGTGGCACAAAAAAACCAGAAATTTTGTCATTCTCTACTTTAGCAGCAGTACTGCCGTCCCAACCTTTCTTTTTTTTCTTTTTTTTTTTCTCTTGCTGGCACTGAACTGCAAACGGGCCAAGAAGTGGGAATGATGAACTTACTCCCAGGGGATGTCGCCAGCAAGCATAAGATCGCCATCAGCATCTTCGTATGCAATCACATGCCCAGGGAGAGCATTTAGACTGTTGCAAGGAGGGTGGCAGCCAGGGCGGATCCAGTAGCGCTGTTCAGCTGGGATCATAAACTCGAACATATGACGGAGAGTGGTGGACAACCCTTCATAGTTGTAGTGCTCCCGCAAGCTTATCCGCCTGCCTATAGGCCATCCTTCCATGATAGCAGTAATGTGCGCTGTGGACTCCCCTGCCGGAGCTGCACGCGAATGCGGTAGTGGTTCAGGCCGCACATCGTTGAGGAAGGGCGGAGATGACATCATTTTCTTCTTCAGTGGTGAGCCACGCACCATTCAGAAATCGAAAGCAAAACAACAAAGGGGGAGGCAGTGGAGGCCAACCGACGAGAGGAAAAGGGAGCGAGAGACTCTTCCTCTCTAGGGTGAAGCACCGTCCATACGAGCAGAAGCAGGTGAACCTGAGGAAGAGAGAACAAGGGCAGTTGCCCACACCATCATGAAGCCACCTGGCATCGGAGTTCTTCTGAGAGATCGCTTGATTGGAGAAACAAGTCCGTCATCATTATGCAAGGGGAGGTAGCAGTCTATGCCTGGAGAATAGACTACCAGCTCTGTAGAATTTGGAGTCATGAATTGGAGGCAGGGACAGCGTTATGACAGAGCAGATGCCAATGAGAAAGGAAATCAAAGAGAAGCTGCAAACTATAGAGTGAAGATGAGAGAAAGAGTCAATGACGATGATGGTTCATCAGGATATGGACGGTGTCACAAATGGTCGGTCCCATGAACTGGTGACTGGCAGTAGCTGGTACTTTCGATGCCGAATAGGCCGCAAAGTGCACGTTACACAAGGCCTCTCCTTCTCCTCCTTAGCTGAGACTCCATGAGTGCTCTGACAAGCCCTTTGGTCTGACTCGCTCCCTGTCCTCTGCCGCGGGCAGAAAACCAAAGAAAGAGGATAAAAGGAGAGAGACACATAGACGGGTGAGGTGGAAGAAGTGGACATGACAATTGCACACCTTTCTCACAAAGCACGACATATTTCAGACCAAACCATTCTTCAACAAGCCACACCACTCTTGCCACATTCTTCAACAAGCCACACCACTCTAGCCAGTTCTTAAACCAGCCACACCACTCTTGCCACTCGCAACCACACACACGATGCTCAAGGAAACTCACATGAAACATGTGCGTAAGACAAGCATGCACATAGGACAGCATTCCCAGTTCAGCACGTTGAATAACAAGGACTACAAAAGGTAGACAAGGAGGAGCTAATATCTCGTCAAATCGGGTTCATAATTACCAACCTAAAACTAAGAAAAGTGAAAGGTGGAAACCAAGTCAGCGATTCTTGAATAGATAGAGAAAATTCTTAGCGGAACGACATTAACATGTTACAAAGACTTAACCAAATACTGGTCTCGCTTCTCCAACACGCATCACCAAATACCTCTTCTCCACCACGCAAACACGCTCAGAAACATACTCACACCAACGGGCCTAGCTCAATCAGTACACCCATGAACTGTGAAACATAGACCCAAGTTTGAACCCAGCTACAACCAGATAACCAGCATGAAACCATTCTGAATCACCTGGGGCCGGTGAGTCCAATGATGACAGGTCTACATACTTTCATAGCAACCCCCTTTCCCTCTCCCTCCTACCCTATCTAGAACTCTGCCTCTTGCTTTCCCTCTGAACAATGACTTCATTTGTTCTGTGACACTCATGCTCGCACACACACACACACACACTTTCATAGCAACCCCCTTTCCCTCTTCCTCCTACACTAGCTAACACTCTCCCTCTTGCTTTCTCTCTCAGAAATTGTTCTGTGACACTCATGCTCGCATGCACACACACACACACACACACACACACACACACCCACACACACAC